TTTGTATTGGGGGGTCAAAGGGCACGGTTAAGGAGGTCCCGGCAGGCCTGGGGGAAGGGTCTGTCGGCGCTCTCTGCCTGAGTCCTGCCGCTGAACGCATCCCGGGTGCACGGGGCGAGGGTGCAGGAAGACTCGGGTGCCGACTCAGGAGCATGGGTGCAGGACTGTGACCCCGCTCCGCACTGGGAGAGGTCCTTGGCCTTTCTCTTTCAGGTCGCCCAGAGTCATGCCCAGGGACAGGCAGCCCGCCTGGTCCAGGGCCCCCAGGGATCCCAGCCCTCTCGCAGGGCACCCCCAGAGAGGCCGGAACAGGCAAAGGGAGGAAGTGGACCAGCCGAGTGGAGTGACAGGTCAGCAGCCGGGACCCGGACAGGCCCCAGCCTGCTACACGGTGGCCCATCTGACCCCTCCGCGGCCGGGCCTGGGAAGAGGCGGGCCCAGGTCAGGGACCCGGCTCCGTGCCGCTCCAGCATCCCCGCCCCAGCGCCTCACGGCCCCACCCCCACCCCGGCATCTGGCAGGGGTTTCCCATGACCTCCCGGGGGACAGAGCTGCCGAGTCAGGCTGAGCTGCAGCGCCCCGAGTCATGATGGCATCTGCATCTGGTGGGGACAGCTCGTGGGGACTGGGCCCTGGGGACCGTCTCTGCTGAGGAATGCAAAGCAACAGGCTCCTGGCCCTAGAGCGGCCGGCTGCGGGGGGCAGGGAGCCTCTCCCCACCGCCCCGGCCAGGGTCTTGGGAAAGGGGGGTGGGGACGTCTGTGCGGGGGAAGGAGAGCTCCCTTGACACAGGGAGGGGGGTGGGGGTTAGGAGCTGGGACCATGGGAACATGCAGCCTCGTGCAGCAAAGCTGCTGCATAAAGGGGGAGCTTGGACCCTCGGGCCTCACCACACACCCGCACGGCACCGCCTCACGTGCACAATTGGGCAGCAGCCATGCACAGTAGGGCAGCCGTGTGCACTCAGGCAGCCGTGTGCACTCAGACAGCCGTGCACAGTAGGGCAGCCGTGTGCACTCGGGCAGCCGTGTGCACAGGAGGGCAGCCGTGTGCACTTGGACAGCCGTGTGCACAGTAGGGCAGCCGTGTGTACTCTTGGACAGCCATGTGCACTCGGACAGCCGTGAGCACAGTAGGGCAGCCGTGAGCAGTAAAGCATTCGAAGGAACTGAGACTCTAGACTCGCAGCAGCGAGCAGCGTGAGGAGGGTGTGCCTGGCAGGGATGGTGCCGGTGCCGGGCTCCAAGCCGGCTCCTCCCTCTGCAACGGGAACACCCTCAGGCACCTCCCGGGGCCCCACGGGGGTGACGTGGGCACACACCTGCCGCAGAGGGAGGCTGTGGAAACCACGGTGCAGAGCCACCTGAGGTTCAGAGTCCTTTTCCTCGCAGCAGCCTCCTGCGATCCACCCATTCACGACTGGGGGTGTGGGGGGGACTCTACGTCTCGGCCAACAGTCACTGCAGCTGGAGCCACGGCGCCGCCGCCCAAGCACGCTTCGTTGTACTCGCGAGGACTCCCGAGGAGCCTGCCGGCTGCCCCCATTCTGCGGTGGGTAAAGCTGAGGCCCAGACGGCCCAGCCTGCCCTTTGCCCCCACAGCTGTAAGAGTGTGGGTGCCGCTCCCCTGGCTCCGCCCCAACTCCCCAGAGGGTTTGAAAAGCTCCAATCAGCCAGGCGGCCGGGTGGGGGAGGGCACGTGGTTTCCGGGGCCTGCGGTTACTCCAGTCCACTTCCTTGTGATGACATAAACCCGGTTTCTGCAGCAGGGGGCCGCCACCAGGGCCTTGGGTCTCCACCCGGCCCCCGGGGTGGGGGGGGTCCTGCTGGGGAGTGCACGGGACACAGGTGGCCTTGCTTGGCGCCGACTGGCCGGGGCCCCGCCCCCATCCTTGCACACTTGTCTGTGTCTCCTTCAGCCTCTCCTTCCCCTCAAGTCACCAATTCTGATTCAAAATTCAGACGGACACGAAGACTGCAGAGTGGGGGTGGCGAGGGAAAGATGGCGGCGAGAGGGCACCCAAGGGGGACGGGGCTGCCGTGCTCTCACGGTGGGTGTCCCTGGGGTCCCCTTCCCAGTCCCTGCTCCGCCCCAAGGTGTCCACGGAAGGCCTCGGGCTGGCTGTGTCACCACTCCCCCGCCACTGTCCCCAGCTACCCCGCAGGGAAGGAAGCTCAAGGAAACCAGAGATAAGGGTCAGGCCACACAGAGGGCGGCCCTCAGGGTGGGGGCTCCAGGCTGGGGCCCTGGAAGGGTCTTCAGTAAACATACCGTATGATTGGCTTCCTTCCCCAACTTGAGCTATGCCAGCCTGCATTTCCTAACAGCCTCCCCCTCCCCCTGCCCCCCTAGTCGCCCCAGTATTGCTGGTGGGGGGCAGGTGGGGCTCAGGCTCACCCCTCTCCCACACCCCAGCGCCAGATGGAGGCCAGCTCTAGGTCCTGATCCTGCACGGGGATTGATGGACGAGGGGGTGGCAGGCAGGCTGCCGGGCTGGCCTGGCCTGGCCTGGCCTGGCAGTCTCCCAGTGCGGACAGTTTAGGGGCAGGGGGACCAGACTGCAGGGAGGCGTGGGGTGGGGCGTCTGGGGGCACCTGGACCTTCCCCCCTTTCCCACAGCCCAGAACCTGAAAGTCCCCCTCTGGCCCTGCCCCAGCCCGGGCCTGCCCTGCGGTGACCTGCTGACGGCCAGCTTGGATCCTGTCCCAGGGAGATTCCCCGCCAGCAGCCTGGGCACCCCTGCACGTCTCCCCTCAGCCAAAAGCTCCCCTGCTCCCCACCACACACACACTCGCACACGCACACACGTCTGCCTCCTTGTCCCACTCCTGGCCTCCCGGCCCCAAGAGCCGGCTCACAGCAAGTCACCCCCCTGAGGACTCAGGAGGCACTTCAGTTAGACGCGAGAAAGGACTTCCACAGGTTCCGAGAGAAAGCGGCACCTGGCGCTGGCAGGCTCTCAGCAATCCCAAATCGTGGGTCCTCCCCAGTCCACTCCGGCCCACACCCCAGTCCTGTGGTGGCGAGAGAGGCTCCCGGGGGTGGGGGTGGGAGCTAGCAGGGGACCTAAAGGCTCGAGGGACTGCCCCCTGCCCCAGCCCTACCCTCGGCTCTCTGATTAGAAACTGCCTTCTGTCCAGGCACTGTCCGCTTTCCACGGCCGGCTGCCCATTGAGGTCTGGCGTGTGTCCGGCTGGGCACTCCTGCTGGGGCGTGAGTGGGGAGGGGCGGGCCCTCACCTGCCAGGAGCCCTGAGACCTGGCTCTTCCGACGCTCAAGTCTCCCCACCCCTCCACCCGGACCAGCCGCTCAGGCAAGGAGCGGGGCACCCGGAGCTCGCCGTGCAACGCGAGCGGGACGCCGGGATGAGGCCCGCGGCCCCGAAGAGCGGGGTGCAGTGGGCAGGCCCTGCCTCCTTTCTGTGGAAAGCAACCCAAGGACCTTCTAGTGGCCGGGGTGGGGGCGGGGAAGGGACTCCAGCTAGTCCTCACTCCTCAACACAAAGTGCCAACCCCGAGGGACTTCCCTGCCCCCGGCCGTGCCCCAGTCCAGCCTGGGGACCCTGCCTCGGGGAGGGGGCTTTGTTCGGCTCCGCCGTGCAAGATGGAGTCTAAAGGAAAGCCCCCATGGTGGGGCGCCCCCCACCCAATCCTTCCCCCGCCCCCGGTTCCGTGGGGGGGGCCCTTTTCCGCGCACTCAGACCCCCCCACCCGGAGATGCCACATTCACACTTCCCGCCACCCCACCACCCAGGCACCTCCCTCCCTCGACCTCTCCGCTTCCTGCTGCAAAGTCAGCTCTGCAGCAGCCCGGCCCCACCCGCCGGCCAGCCCACCAGGCACCTGCGGGCTCCCCTTTGTCTGTTGGGGCCGGCAAAGCTGAGCTCAGAGGGTGCCTGGGTGCAGCCTAGTGAGTGGTTGGGGTGCCTCCATCTGCCGCCCTGGACTGCAGGGCCCGGGGGCCGTCCCCCTCTCTCCGGGCGGCAGAGGGCTGGCGAGGAGGAGGAGGGCGTGTGTCCTGTGGCGGGAGGAGGGACGCCTTTCCGTAGGCAGCTCTGACCCCGTCTAGGTGACCTTCCTGGGCTCCTGGAATATGGGTCACCTACCGCCTGTCGCAGATTCCCACCCTAAACCTGGGCCCCAGACCCCCATGCGTCACACGGGGCCGGGCAGGGCTGGATGCCCCTGTCCAGCACCCCTGCCTCAGGGAGCGGTCCCCGACGGCCCTCTCCCACCCACGGACCCCTCTCCAGGAGACAAACCCAGAGCAAGGACAGCGAGAGGGGGTGTGGTGTGCAGGGCGTCCACCCAACAAAGGGCACCGGTGGCTCAGCTCACCTTTGCAATGTTCCCTGACCCGCACCTGTGTGCGCCACCCCGTGGGAGCCCCAGCCGTGTCCTGTCCCCACCTCAAAGGTCAGGGTGTCACTTCAAACCCCAGGTAAGTCCGTGCAGCCCTCCCGGGTCCATTTTATCGGAGCGCCTGAGCAGCACACACCGGGCACACCCTCCTGGCCTCTTGCGGTGGAACCCCAGGGACATCTCTTCCTCTGTCCCCAGCCCCCCTGTCTGCTTGGGACAGAGCCAGCAGGCTCCTCTGACTCCCAGCCCTGCACTGATCTTTGTCTGCAGGCTCCGGGGGTGGGGGTGCTGCCAGCCGGGCAGGACCCAAGGCAGAACCAGCCCACTAGGGTAGATGAGGGGAAATTTCCCCCCAACAGCCTGGTATGAGACAGCAGCCCCGTGGGGAGGCGAAGAGGAAACACACAGACTCTCCGCCTGGGCCAGGGCTGGGTGTGAAATACCGGATTTCCTTGTTTATTCGATTTTCTGATTATTAAGGGCTCCCAAGAGGGGCCCGAAATCACCACCCAAACAAAGCCACCTTCCAACAGCGCGCGGGTCCACGCGGCCCTTCCTTAGGGCGTGCAGGCTCGGGACCCAGCGGCCCTGTGGCCACGCGACACAAAGCCCGACCCCCTCGCGCCCGCTGTCTCCTACCTGACGGCCACCTTGACGCAGCAGTCCCCTTGGCCGGCCATGGCCCTCGGGCGCCAGGGTTTGGGCGTGGATCAGGGTCAGGGGTCCCGGGGCCAATGCCCCAGGCGGCGGTGGCGGCCAGAGCGGGCACCGCAGGGGGGACAGCGCGGTACCGGCGCACACACCTCCCGCCCGAGCGCACCGCCCACCTCGCTGCCACCCGCGCGCACAGCCGCGCGGACAAAGGGGGCGGGGGCCGGCCCGGCCCAGGCCCCGCCCCGAGCTCAGGCCCAGACCCCGCCCTAGTCACGCCCCCTGATTGGATGACCAATCGAGGTCCTGTGCCAGCATCAGGGGCGGGGCTGGAGCCTTTAAAAGGAGCTCCTGGCGCTTGTCCGCCCGCGTGCCGGGGGCGGTCGGAGTGGCGGGCCTGGGGGTGGATCCACGCTTGCCGAGCAGACCGCGCCGGAGCCTCGGCCTGGAGGGGACCCCGGTTTCGTAAATGAGGAAACTGGGACCGAGAGAAGGGAACTACCCAAGGTCACAGCGAGTTAGTGGCTAAACGTGGGTAAGAACCCAGGTCCCCAGGCCGAGAGCTTCCCTTCCCAGCACACACAGCGACCAGCCCTTGGTCCTGAAAGCCCCAGGGAAGCCCCCCTGTATTCCAGTGAATCCGCGACCTTCCCTGAAGGATACTCGGGTGTTTGAGACGCCCTCCAGCTCAACCCTGCGGCATCACAAAGCCTGTCTTTTGGTTAATCCCTGGCCAGGCGGGCTGCCCTTCTGCCAGACCTTTGTGACCCCAGGGGGCCCCCACACTCCGCTTGTTGTGACCTGGGGGGCGGGCTGGGGATCCACGTGGGAGGCCTGAGCCGCCCTGGGGACAGGAGGGAACAAAGGGGGCACTCAGCTGACACCTGGGGGGCGGCTGGGGGGCGAGGTGGGGGGGGCGGGGGAAGGGTGCAGCTGCCTCCTTTCTGCGGGCACAAAGGACAAGGAGGAGGCCAGAGCTCCGAGAAGTCTGCCTCCCCTCCTGCCGCACCCGGGCCTCGGGCATCGCCTCCCTGCCTCCCAGGGCCCAACATTGGGGCCATTCACAGGCCCGTCACCTCTGCCGCTCCCTCCCCCGGACGGGGCCCAAGCCGGGGACCCAGCTGCAGCCCCAGATGCGCAGGGAGCTCTGTGGGGGAGGGGAGGGCACGCGGCCCAGCTCCAGCCTCTGGCGGCCCCCTGGGATGATGCAGCCGGGTCAGCGGTTTGGGCACGGATGCCCCTGCTGGTGCCCTCCTCCTCCCCTCCCTGCCCACCCTGCAGACCCCTGCACCAGCCGGCAGCCAGACCCCGTCATAAACCAAACACAAAGGTAACTCCAAGGGCGAGTCACCGCCCCCCCCCCATCCTGGTGGAAAGTGGGAGCACCACCTGCAGGGCAGAGGAGGGGAGGCAGGGGGTCTGGTTGGACTACTCTGTGCCTTCTACTGCCATGGGAACCTACAGGCCGGTCTCTGGAGCCAGCAGGCCCGCCTGCCAGAGTGTGGGGGGGGGGGGGGCAGCAGAGTGTTGAGTCAGGTCCCGGGCTCTCTCCCCCAACCCGTCCGCCCCACGAGAGGTGAGGAGGAGACCACGTTTAGGGACCGTCCGCACGAACAAGGTGCCTCACGGGCACATTCTCACTGCGCCCTCATCACACCTTGTGAGGGCGGCGTCACCGCTCTTTCGGGTTTGCAGACAGGGCAGCTGGGCCTCGCCCCGCACGGAAGCGGCAGACCCAGGCTCTGCGCCCACAGGGCCCTTCCCTCCCTGCAGCGGAACCACGTGGACCTGGGGTTCTGCCCCAGGGGCAGCCCTCCCCGCAGCAATGGCAAGGCCGCGTCGTGCAGAGGGGCGCTCCGCAGCCCGCCCGCTCCTGGGGGGCCTCTCTGGGCTCCAGAGCCGGTTTCCTGCCTCCAGAAAGTCCCCCCGCCTGCCGAGAACCGGTGACCTTTCCGACTGGCGGCTTTACTGCTGGGAAGTGCACCGGAGCCGCTGCCCCACCCGTCCCTCCGCGCCACAGGGTGTCAGAGCCGGGGGCAAGGGAGGTGGAGGCCCAGGACTCGCGCAGGTCAGGGTCTCAGGTCCCCAGGCCAGCCCCTCGGCAGGGGCTCCTGGGCCTCTGGGCAGCAGCAGGGCAGCTAGAGACCCGAACCCTGACTCCTGGGCGCTGCAGCCCCAAGAGGAGGCTGAAACCGGGCCAAGAGGTTGGTGGGGGGGGGGGTGCAGAGGCAGGACAGGGGCTTAAACGCAGCTCGGGAGATTCTGGTCAGTGAGGTCAGAGGGGGCCTGGGACCGGCCGCAGTCTCTCCAGCCGCCACTCAGCTGCGGCCTCCTCTCCAGCTGGTTCCCGCCCCAGCTCCCAGCTTCCTTCTGTCCTTCCTCCCAGACCCTCTCCAGGTCGGCTGCCTGCACGCCCTCCCTGCCACCCCAGCCCGGCCCTCCTGGCCTGACAGAAACGTGCACACTCGCACACACTCACATACTTGCACACTCGCGCACACACACATACACACTCACTTGCACACACCCACACACTCACTCCCCAGTGTTTGGCCCTGAAGCCCTAGCTGGACTGGGGTCTGGGCCCCCCTCTTGCCCTGAGCTGAGGCCCTTCCCCCAGGGTTCTGGGGTCTCCGTTGCTCCGGAGCTGTGGGCAGCCAGGCAGCTGGGAACCTGGGGAGTCTGGGTGGGGGATGGGGGGCACCCTCTGGGGCAGGAAGCTCCCACACCGCATCGTTAAAATGCTCGGCAGTGAGTTGGGGCCCAGATCCCTCAGTCACGGACCTCCAGAGGCAAACCAACACCCCCGAGAGGTAGACCCCCTTAGGCCCTGGAAGCGCCTCCGGGGGTGGTCTGATGGTGAGTTCCGTTCCCCTCCATCTCCAGGGCTGGAACTAGGCATCGGTGTTTGCAGAAGCCACCCGAGCTGTGACCTCACGTCCCGGGTGGAAAGTCCAGTGTCCTGGACCTCCCGTCCCAACACCCAGCCCCACCCCGCCCCAGTGGCTGCACTTGGCTCGGTGGGAGACCCCGCCCGCAGCCGGCTGGCCACACCCTCCTGGAGCACCCACCTGGAGACAGAACCCAGATCTGCCTGCCAGCGGGGCCCCAGAGAGGGTCTGGTGGGGTGCAGACTCAGAGACCTCAGCTCCAGCGAGGGCTGAGCCCGACTTCCCCTCCTACAGAGGAGGAAGGCTTAGCCGTAGAGGAAACCAGAATTTGCTATAAATAGCAAGGGGGAGAGAGGACTGCTGTGGGTCACAAACTCCCCAGCCGGTCTTTAAAAAACAACTACTTTTGGTTTCGAGTGTGACCGAGGGGGTAGCTGCCCTCCGGAAAATGCCTCCATCACCACCCTTCTCTGAAGTGGCTTTGATGTGCGGGGGGACAGGGTCACAGCATCCTCGAGTGGGAAAGACCCCGCGACCCCCTCGTTCTGCCCCTCCACTTTCGGGTGGAGAGCCGGAGGCCCAGAGAGGGAGAGAGACTTGTCCAAAGTTGCACAGCAGGCTGGGGGCCGAGCAGGGACCGCAGCAGGGTCCCCGGGCTCCCGGAGCCGGGCAGCTCCCCAGCAGCAGGCAGGGCCCACAGGTGAACACCGAGACTGGGCCGGGGGAGCGTTCGCGTGCGGGTACTGGCTGAGTCAGTGCGTCAGAACAGAGGACAGCCCGAAGCCGCGGGTGGTGGTGCCAGTCCCAGAGTCCTAGGTGCACATTCCAGCGACTGCTCCGCCACGCGTCCTGGGGCAGGTTACGGAACTGCTCCACACCCAGTCCTCTGTCCTCAGCGTGACGATGCCCACACTGGAGTCATCTCGGGGCCGTCAGGAGGTGGTGGAAGTGAGGTCGCCAGGCCAGGCACCCAGCGCAGGGCAGAGCGGGTGTGAGTCCCCTTCCCGTTCCACAGACCCCCCACCCCCACCTCTGTGGGACAGAAGGCGACTTCGTCACAGCGAGGTCCCTGGTGGGTAGGAAGTCTCGGGGATGAGTGTGCATGAGGCTGGGTACAGGGGACCGGGATGGGGAGGATGCCTGGCCCGAGGGGTCACTGATCCTGGGAAGTGGGAGGGGCCGGTTCACAGGGAGCGGCCCGGCCTCTGCTGACCACGCTGGGCGGGCCCAGGCGCAGGCTGAGTGTATGCAGAGGCAGGAAGGAGCCCAGGCCTGCTGACCCCTGCTGGACCTAACGCTCCAGGTCGCAGCCTCACGGGGGGCCGTCTGCAGGGGCATCTGAATTCTGCCTCAGCTGCCCGTGTGCCGTCCTGGGCCGAGGGAGCCGCCCAGGTCTTCTCACTGAGCCCTCACAGGGCTCCCTGAGGCGCCTGCTGCTGTCCACCCCGGTCTGCAGAGGAGGAAACGGGTTCAGAGGTCACTTGGCTGGCGGAGCGGTCATTAGTGCCGGTCACCAGATATTTCCACTCTCTGCCTTCTGGCCCAAGGCAGGCCGGCCTGCCCCCACTCTGAGTGGGGGTGGCCATGCAACGGGCTCTGACCAGCGGCACGTAGACAGGACTGCAGGCTGCGGCCGTGCGACCGGCTCTGGCCCATGTGAAGCTGCCCGCGGGACTGCGTACCTTCCAGGGCACACAGCAGCTCCTTCGGGCCCGGTCTCCTGGGTTCCCTGGAGCCCTACGGGCGGGCAGAGGTGGGTGGACGGCTCTCCACCCCCACCTGCGTCCACCCTCGAGTTGGCTACGGAGTTGCCCTCTTTCCATGAAAGAGCCTCTGGTCAGCTGTGCGGGGCTGCCCGTCAGGGACCCCCGAGAAGTAATTAGGAAAATGCCAGGGGGTTCCAGGGCCACAGCCCCTGCCCTGCCTAGGAAACAGTCATCAGAGTGCAGTGAGGACCCAGCGGGGTTGGCCCCCAACTTGGAGACCAGCCCTCGTCCAGTCCCTCTTTCCCCTGGGACTCCTCCGTCCCTGCTCCGGGACTGGGGGCCGCATGGAGGCAGGGCAGGTGCTCTGAGATCCAGGAGGGAGCCGACTGTGGCTTCTAAGGAGTGGTTGCGGGGCCGTGCAAACTACTAACAGCCACGGTTCCGTGGCGCTGGGCAGGGTGCTCACAGCAGCCTTAGGACAGCGGGCGAGGGGCCACCCCGACACAGCAAAGGTGGCACCTCGGCGGCTGAGGGGCAGGTTCGAGACCAGGCCAGCCAGTTTCCTGTTTCCTCCCGCACTGGGTCGCAGGG